AGAAGGACAACAGGTTTCTTTTTCTTTTCTTTTTTTAAAAAATTTTTTAAAATGTTTATTTTTGAGAGGGAGAGAGACAGGGTGTGAGTGGGGGAGGGGCAGAGAGAGAGGGAGACAGAATCCAAAGCAGGTCCAGGCTCTGAGCTGTTAGCATAGACCCTGATGCGGGCGGGGCTCAGACCCACAAACCACGAGATCATGACCTGAGCCAAAGTCGATGCTTAATCAACCGAGCCACCCTGGCACCCTAAAAAACAGGTTTCTTAAATGTGTGACAGTGGCACAGAAAATCATTTGCTTTTTTAAAACAGGTTCTATTTCTGTGGTCTCTTGGTTGTATCATGTCTGGTACTCAGGTCATGGCTTCAAGCTGTATCTGATACACGCATAGAATTTTTGACTTCCAAGTCCTTAAAATTCCGCATTTAACTGTTTTATACAAGGGGAAGAAATCTCGGTGTTTGGGTTCAACTGAAGGTGGACAAAGTCCTAACGATGGATTTTGTCACAGGTCTCTCCCAAGGCGAATGCGTCTTCTACGAGATGAAAGAACTGGGTGTAAACTCTTGATTTTTGAAGAGACAGTAGCCACTCTTCCCATAGATCCTCCCAAGAATCCTCCCACCTGAACTGTAATCCTAACTTCAAATTTTTCCAGTTCTTTACGGATGACCAGAAATCCCCCCCTCCCAACACACGTAACTTAGCAACTCTCATTTAATCCGTGACGTACTGCTCAGGACCTGAGGTTTGTAGAAGTTAAGTGAGTTGACTGGACACTGGCTGTGCCCTACCTTTACAAAGAACAACAGTGGTGGCTCACTCACAGAGCTGACAAGAGGCTCAAATGAGTTAATTATCACATGTAAAATGCTAACATCAGTCCCTGGCACATAGCTCATTTTCAACAAATGTAGGATACGATTATTACGCCATATTTCAGAAGTAGCGGACTTGATTTCTGTTTCATTCACTCACTGAGCAAACATTTCTTGAGCACCTGCCGTGTGCGGTGTTCGCAGGCAGAGTGCCCATGTTCTTAATGGCTATTCTTTATTGCCTCCAGTTCAATTCCAAGGAAGATGTTTTCCCTCTTTGTAGGAAACTGGAAAATGACATCACTAAAGATAGGACATTTCATGGTCCACCAGCATTTTGTTTTGAAGTCTTCAGAATAAGCATCATGTTTAGATAAAGAATGCACATCTTACAGTCATTCCTCTTGATCTCAGGATAGTGCCGACTTCCTGCTGGAGCATAAGACAAGAAGTGAGTGTAGCTACTAATCTGGCTGCTTAGATTAAATAAAATTATTGAATCTGTTAACATCGCGAAGCTCCTCAGCTTGAGAATAAGAGTTTTTCCCAATTTACTTTTAGAGGAATTGAAGGTTTCACTTACATTTAGTAAACAATATTTAAGTTGAGAGAGGCCAAGCTTTTTAAAGCCAAGGTAAGTTAAGAAGAATTGGGTCTTTGCACTAAAGCTGTGTGGAGTAGGGAGTTTGAAATAGTATAAAATATGGGACAAGAGTTGTGGTTTTTAAAAATTTTTGTTGATGTTTGTTTATTTTTGAGAGCGAGAGAGCGTGTGAGCAGGGAAGGGGCAGAGAGAGAGAGAGAGACAAAGAATCCGCAACAGGCTGCATGCTCTGAGGTGTCAACACAAAGCCCAACTCGGGGCTCAAACCCACAAACCACGAGATCATGACCTGAGCCGAAGTTGGACCCTCAACCGACTGAGCCACCCAGGCACCCCAAGAGTTGTGTTTTTTAAAAAAGGCAGTGGCTTTAAATCTTTAACATCTGAATAACAATCAGATATTTGACCCAAGAAGTTTCCAGGGTTGGGGTTGCTGTCTTCCCACCAGGTTGACATTTCTAACTTTTTGGTATCTCATTACTGTCTTTCATAAGCTGTACTCAACGCGAAATGGCAAAGTAAGGCCACCAGTGATTGTTCTGTCACAGTAGTCTGGCTTTGATGAGTCATCGCAGTACAGCCCTCTGAACCGAGTGCCGATAAGAATAGACACACAATAGGAAAATAAAACAACCGAGAGCTGAAGCAGAAATTGCTGGGAGCTCACAAGTGTGTTCGCGGCTCTGCTGTATTTAGCTGTGTGACCTTGTGCATGTCAGGCTCTTCCAGGGCCCCAGGCTTCTCATGCATAAAATAAAGTTTCTAGGGTTTCTTGCTGAAGTTAGGTCAAAGACTTGGGAGTTTAATATCCACTAAGAGAGGTAGGAGATAAAGCCCTTTCAAGATGACCCGGGAGTCAGGATTTGTGTAATTATAGTAGCTTAGTTGACTGTTAGAAAACAGCAGTGGCAGATGAGTCAGCCTGGCAACGTAGCTATTGGAGACCAGTGATGCTTTTTTTGTTATAAAAAGACTTGACTACAGCATAAGTTGAGGTGCCAACGGTCAAGGTGATGCCAAGTTCCGGAAATAGCAGCTAGGATATCGTACAGAGGACAGGATGGAGGGGATGTTTGTCGCGAATTGATTTTCCCAGCCAGACCTCCACTTCGGCTTTCCCTGGAGAAGACGCTCAAGGGAGAGACACAGGGAGTGTAACATCCCCATCCGGCAAATAGTCCACCCCACACATATTGCTTGGGAAGTCACTACCAGTGACTAAGAAGAGGCAGGTGTGGTATTTCAGACCTGCTTCTTCTGCCTCACTTGGTTCTCCAAGGGTAGATCTGAGAGACTGACTCTAGTGAAAGTTTTTTTTTTTTTTCTTTAAGTTTATTTATTTATTTTGAGAGACCGAGAATCCCAAGCAGGCCCTGTACCGTCAGCGTGGAGCCTGATGCAGGGCTTGAACTCAAAACCCATGAGATCGTGACCTGAGCCGAAACCAAGAGTCAGATGCTCAACCGACTAAGCCACCCGGGGGCCCCTAGACAAAGCATGTTTTGTACTAGGCTCGCCAGCTGCAAACCTCTGGACTAAATGTGGACCCCTCTCAAGACGGGCAGATCTGACCCATCCATCCTTCATCCTCCCTCTGGGCCCTTTCTCCAATAGTTAGAGAAGAGGGAGCCTATTCCTGTTTCTGTCGGGCCTGGTACTGAGCTCACCCCATCTGCTTATTCTGTTCCTCCCCACACACTTCAGCTCTGCCCACCACAGGCTGGTGCAAGTCCCCATGTGTCATAGAGGTTGGGTTGAAGGGGGCAGGGTCACAGGAGACCTCATGGTGCATTCCAGCTGTAGCACCTCCTTGCTGTGAAACCTGGAGTAAGTTACTTAGCTCATGTGGTAAGTGTGGCAAATTAATAGTCTTCATGCAGGTAGCCACTTTGTACCTTAAACCATATGAAACTACATTTTAACTTAAACCGTATGAAAATTTGTCCTCTTTGAAGGAAAGAGAGTGAAGCTGTGGCAGAAAACTAGGCCTTGATCTTTCCCGACCCCATCCCTCCATCAGCAAGTGTGTGTCATAAACACAAGAGGCAGATTTGACGTCACAGTTCCCCACCTCCTTACGCAGGCCCCTAGGACAGTGAATTTCAAACTCTGTAAGCAGCAATCTACTTTTTAAAAACCTTACACAGAAGGGTAGTATGTAAAATGAGTGAAAGTAGGCTTTTGTTTATAAAAAGCATGCTTAAGTTGAAATTTATAATAAACCCAATAAGAATTATGGAACAGTTTTGATTCATAAAGGAATTTGAAATAGGGGAGATAAAAGATGGCTGCTACGGTCTTTGTCCTATAACATGTATATGTAAGTAATTGCAAACAATGCATCATTAAAAACAATTCTCCTTCCAATCAAGTGATGTCAGTAAATTAAAAAGAAAAGGCTTTTAATGCCGAATATACAGACCATGAACATTTCTGTCTTCATGTGTAACAGATGGGAATGAACTTCTAAATTATTGCGTTTTTTTTTTTCAAAATGATGTATTTTTTTTTAAATTTTTTTTTCAACGTTTATTTATTTTTGGGACAGAGAGAGACAGAGCATGAACGGGGGAGGGGCAGAGAGAGAGGGAGACACAGAATGGGAAACAGGCTCCAGGCTCTGAGCCATCAGCCCAGAGCCGGATGCGGGGCTCGAACTCACGGACCGCGAGATCGTGACCTGGCTGAAGTCGGACGCTTAACCGACTGCGCCACCCAGGCGCCCCTCAAAATGATGTATTTTTAAAGAAAATTTTATATTAAAAAAAATGTTTAACGTTTATTTTTGAGAGGCAGAGTCAGAGTATGAGTGGGGGAGGGGCAGAGGGAGAGAGAGAGAGTCCAGAACAGGCTCCAGGCTCCGAGCTGTTAGCATAGGGCCTGATGCAGGGCTTGACCTCATGAACCATGAGATCATTACCTGAGCTGAAGCTGGATGCTTAATTTCAGCCACCTAGGTGCTCCAAAGAATAAATGTAAAGTAAACGTTAAAATAACTGAAGCATGTCTCAAGGTTTGGCAGAAGGATGCTTGAAACACACTCCCTTATATCTTGGGGCACTCAGGCCCCACATGTGCGCTCTGTTTCCTGTTTGGTTGTGGTGTGTGTGCATTATGGAGACCCATGCAGTTTTCAGTGCCGAGAGCCATTTGGTATTTAAAAAAAAAAAAACGGTTACATTTGAATCAGGTCGGCAGCCTGGTTGACAGTATTTCATCAGTGTCAGTTGCTTGTTTTGATATTACACTGTAAGTTGTGAAATAATATTGTTAGGGGAAGGATGCATGAAACTCTTCTGCACTGTTTTTGGAGTTTACTCTGAGTCTATAATTATTTCAGGATTTAAAAGTAAAAGAAAAAGTACTCGAAAAGGATTATCTATACTTAGGAGGGAGTTGATAGAGTAGTGTGTGGATCACACTGACAGAGTGGATCTCCAACCGTCTCACCTTAAAAGGCATCTTTTTTTCCTTGCCACTGAATTCTGTATCCTCTCTGCACACCCACTGTATCACCTACTGTGACACAGTGGAAGTTTTGAAAAGAAAACCCAGCCAATGGCAAATTAAAGAGAGCTCTCTTTAGGGAGATCTATTTTAGCTGCTAATTAATTACTTAAGAAACTGATGCTGAAACCCAAGAGTTCAGTCTGCAGTTACCCGATACAGAAAAGGTATATGAACGATGTGGCATGTTCTTTTTTTTTTTTTTTTAAATATTACTTATTGTCAAATTGGCTAACATACAGTGTGTAAAGTGTGCTGCTGGTTTTGGGGGTAGATTCCCCTGGTTCATCGCGGTGCTTCTCCCAACAAGTGCCCTTCTCAATGCCTATTGCCTATTTTCCCCTCCTCTCGCGCCCCCATCCACCCTCAGTTTGGTCTCTGTATTGAAGAGTCTTTTGTGGTTTGCCTCCCTCCGTTTGTAACTATTTTTTCCCCTTCCCCTTCCCCATGACTTCTGTTAAGTTTCTCAAGTTCCACATATGAGTGAAAACATATGATCTCTGTTCTTCTCTAATTTCACTCAGCCTGACACCTTCCAGTTCCATCCATGTTGCTGCAAATGGCATGATTTCATTCTTTCTCATTGGCACGTAGTATTCCATTGTGTATATAAATGTGGCATGTTCTTCTAATGCGTTCCTATGCTTAAAACATTTAGTAATTAGGCTGAAGCATTATCAACATGCTATAATATCATATGGTCACATGTCCAAATCAGACTGCCTGGGGGCCCAATGCAATGGCACCTTGTGATGAGCATTATTCCACAGGAGAAAAAAATGAAGGACTAAAGATACTTTTAAAAGAATAAACTTCTGATCCATTCAGTTTTCTGTGTGTAAAGTAAAAGTGGGCATAGCGGTAAAGGAATGTGGTTCTCCGTCCCCTTGGATTTTACAGCGTGCTGTAAATTCCTGCACTGCCTTGTTCTCTGTAAGATTGATGATGGGTTTTGCTCTTTATCACTTGGAGAAATGCAACAGAACTCCAGCAGCCTGCCTATCTATCTTCTTTGTAATGGCCAAAAGAGTGATTGTCTCATGTGTTTTGACTAAAATGGATTGGGAGGAGGGGGAGGTTGCTTACATCTGTCAGACACCTGGGAAGGTGAGCTGGGCTCAAAACCATGCTTTAGTAAATGTTTTAGTGTGTGCTAGTGTCATTCCATTTGTAGAAAAATTAGTTTACTCGGGCACAGAACATACCAGGACCATAGGGTCCTGTGTACTGGGTAGAACTTTAGTTTTGTGTCCGTTGTGGAGACCGCCCAGGCTGACCCTTGAGACTGGGCTCTGAGCTTTCCAGAAATCACTGACCACTCCTCTGGCTCTTTCCCCAGGGTTATCAATGCCGGGAAGAGCACATACAATGAAGACCAAGCCAGCTGTGAGGTACTCACTGTGAAGAAGAAAGCAGGGGCCATTACCTCAACCCCGAACAGGAACTCCACTAAGAGACGGTCCTCCCTTCCCAATGGGGAAGGGCTGCAACTGAAGGAGAACTCGGTAAGACCCTCCTTCACCCCCCAGTTCTCAGGTGAGAAGAACCTGTGCATTCTGGCCCCACTGTGAGGCACTTGAGCTGAATCCCGGTCTATAGTGGGAGAGAGAAAGGCAGTGTCCCCAGAGTTAGTGGGCTGGTGGGTCTGTATTCCAGGTATCGCACAGTCAAAGCTAAAGGTGACACATGTGTGAAGAGCTGGTGTTTATTAGGTTCTTAACGCTTAGAGTAAATAAAACACCCAATCATCTCTAGGCTTTGTTGCAAGAAATAGTGTATATAATGTTTGGTGGTTGTAAAGGAGCCACTTCAAGGTTTTTGTGAAGGAGGTGGGATGGAGGGATGCAAGTAACCCTAGCCATTGGCTTAAAGCCCTGCCATGGCTTTGCTCCCTTCTTCCCCTTGCCTGTCTGTTAGCGTTGTCCAGTGGGAGCCCCCTCCCTGATGCTCTTCCAAATTAGTACTTGTTTTAATTGGCCTAAAGCCCTTGCATCCCATGGGGCAGCCCTGTAGACTGAATGCCCTATTGACAAACCACAAAGTGTCTCTCCTTTCTTCAGTTTCTAGAGAATAAAGCAGATACCCTCAGAAAATTCTTTCTTTCTTTTCTTTTTGTTAAGTAGGCTCCGTGCAGCGCTTGATTGAACTCACAACCCTGAGATCAAGACCTGCACTGAGACCAAAAGTTGGATGCTTAACCAACTGAGCCACCCAGGCAGCCCCTCAGAAAGTTCTGAAGAAACCCTCAGAAAAGTATAGGGAGTAATCCGTACTCTGTCCACCAGCACATTATTTAGCTTACAGAAAAGAAACATTGAATGAGATGATCCAAATGTGACTTTGTCTTCTAATACTCAAGGATATTTTTGTATATACATTTTTATAGGATTTTAAAGGATCTAGGAATCTCTTCTCAGGGTCAGCAACAGCATCCTGCTGCATTTACACTTACGGACTAAGACTACTGATTTATTTTGTTCATACTAGTTCAACTTAGAGTTGAAACACAGTGACCCATGGAGTCTCATTGGCAATTCTTGTGTTCAAGGCTGAAGGAAGCACTGATGGGGCTTTTCCCAAAGAGCCAAAGTCCAGGACTCAGATGGGCAGTAAAGAATAATAATGGTTAAGGGCACAGGCTCTGGAGCGGTATGGTTCAGAGTGGTCCATCCCAGTCTGTCATTTATTAAACCATTTAATTTTAGGATATTTATTCTTTGAGCCTTAGTTTTCTATAAAGAGGAGTAGTAATAGTACCACCAAGTATGTTAGGAAAGAGACTGATTAGAAGTATGAAATTGTCCATGGAAATGTTGAGCCAGAGTCTTAATTAATAAATCCTTGATATATGTGAGCAGTTATCCTGTAGTCAGTCCCACTTCTGTGATTCTCTGTGGATAATGTCCACTGAATTTGTACCTTTACCCATTTGTGAATTGGCAATCACACAATTTTCCTTCATACCTATGCGATAGGATTGTTTTGAAGATGAGTTATTATGGAAAAGTGCTCAGAGAATGTGAGATATTAATGATAGCAAGACATGGGTGCCAGTGACTTAATGTTGCTCTTTCTCCCCTGATAGTCTCCCCTGCCACTGAGATGTGAAGTGATTCTGTAAAAATTAGTCCGCATGGAGGGGTGCCTGGGTGGTTCAGTGGGTTAAATGTTCCACTTCGACTCAGGTCATGATCTTGTGGTTCGTGAGCTCAAGCACTATACATCGGGCTCTGTGTTGACAGCACAGAGCCTGGGACCTGCTTCGGATTCTGTTGTCTCCCTCTCTCTCTGCCCCTGCACCACTTGTACTCTGTCTCTCTCTTTCATAAATGAATAAACATTAAAAAAATTAAAAAAAAA